GCATCCTTAGAACTTCCTCCTAGAGTCTAGGATGCTTAGGAACCAAATTGGACATGACCTATTCTTGAGAGGCACCATCAAATCCAAGAAGTGAGTTTCAGCCAAGTCACAACCATCCCTAAAGGATCTACCTATGAGTTTACCTTCTAGAAGCATTCCCAACCCATCCAATGAAAGTCCTCTACACTACCAAACCTATAGTCAATCAGCTATATGTATGTTTATTGGAGCAACCTAGATACTATACTCCCATAATTCCAACAATAGCAAGACCCATGTCTTAGAGTAGCAAAGTGACTAGAAGGGGCAGTAGGGCAGCAGGGGCTGACTGTTAGAAGTAGGTTTTAGCTAGGTGGGAAAAGTAACGAGAGAAAAGAGATTTGACTAGGAGAGAGAGAGAGGTACAAGAAGTGGATTGTACCCTCTACAGTAGGATCCAGTCATTTGTAGAACACCCAACACCTACCAAGCCTACACAACTATACATATAGAATACATAAATTGACACCCCTTAGGCTTGGTAGGCACTAGCACACCACACACGCAACACCCCCAAGCCCTTGCACCCCCATGTCCTGCAGCAGCTGTGGCTTCTACCCCTTGGCATGTGAGACAGCAACGTCGGTGGCGGGTGGCAGCAACGGCCTTAGCGGCGGCTACGACGATGACAGCGGCGGCGGCGGTGGCGGGTGGCGGCGGAGCCAGCTGCACCTTCTGCAGCGGCGGCGGCTTCGACGATGGCGGCGGCGACCGCGAAGCCCGCCGCACCCGGCGGCGTGGCACGGCCCGACGACGACGGGGAAGGGAGTCATCGGCTGCGGCTGGGACGAGGGGAGACGCAGGAGAGGGGGTGTGCCTCTAGCGATGCGCCCTGGCTGGCGCAATGGCTGGCGTGCGGGCGTGCTGGCTGGCGTCTAAAACAGGGCACTGGCTGCAGCCGTCCGTGCGCTGGCGCATCGAAGCCGCCACAGCAGCACGACGAGGCCACCGCGGCAGCGCGGCTAGGCCGCCACGGCTGCTCGACGAGGCTGCCACGCGTCGAGGCCGCCATGGCAGCAGGACGTGGCCGCCACGGCAGCGCGTCGAGGCTGTTACGACAGCACAACGAGGCCGCCGCGGCAACTCGACGGGGCCGTCGCGGCAACTCGACGAGGCCGCCGCGGCAGCGCGTCGAGGCCGCTAGGCTGCACATGGAGGCTGCCACGGTGGCGCGAAAGTGAGAGGGGAGAGTACGGGGCGAAAGCGTGAATAGGAGGCTCAGCAGGATCTTCCTGGTCTGGTACCATGTTAGAAGTAGGTTTAGGTTAGGTAGGCATGAGAATAAAGAGAGGTTTTAGCTAGGTGGGAACAGTAATGAGAGAAAAGAGATTTGACTAGGAGAGAGAGAGAGAGGTACAAGAAGTGGATTGTACCCACTACAGTATGATCCAGTCATTTGTAGAACATCCAACACCTACCAAGCCTACACAACTATATATATAGAATGTAAGTTGACACACACCCCCTCTAACGACACTGCACGGCCATCACAGAGGTGGTAGGTGGCCTCCTCTAGGACCCTGCTCTAGGCTCGAGGAGGCTCCAGATCCCTTCCCGAGCCTGGGGCAAATGACGGACTAATGAACTTCACAGTTAGTATAGAGAGAGCGAGTCATACACGCTGGCTGGGAGTCATGGCAAGGACGCCCCCTTTAAACAGCACCTCAACGCATCGCAAACGGCTCAAGGCAGCTCCAGATCTCACACTATGAGGGCATGGCAAATGACTCTCAATTGACCTCAACAGTTAGTAGAGATAGCGAGTCGTGCACCCTTGCAGTCGTGGCGGGGGCGCCCCCCTTAGACAGCACCCTGCGCGCATCACAGATGGCTCAAGGTGACAGTGGGGCGCCTCCAAGTTAGTAGAGAGACAGCGAGTCGTGCACCCTGGCAGTGGTAGCAGGCGCGCCCCCCTTCGACAGCACCCCGCGCGCGTCACAGATGGCGCGTGGCGGCTCCAAATCCCTTTCCATGAGGCGTGGCCCTGCAGCCGCTGCATCTGCTGTGCAAAGAGGTTGTCCAACGTCTGGTGGATGGGGGGGGGGGGAGGGGGGGAGGGATTGTGGAGATTCAGGGAGGCAAGGGGAAGCATCTGAGCCAGAAGCTCTCTCCATGCGCGCGTGGCCCTGCAGCCGCTGCACCTGCTGTGCAAAGAGGTTGTCAAGTGTCTGGTAGGGGTGTGGGAGTGTGGGGTGTGGGAGTGTGGGAGTGTGGGATGTGAATATGGGGAGGTGCAAGGCAATACAAATCAGCAGAAAAACCTTGCGCCAACACGTGGCCCTGCAGCCGTTGCATCTGGTGCGCCAACAGGTTGTCCAAAGTCTGACATGGGGTGTCGGGTTTAGTGGGGGTTATGAGTGTTGGCGCTGAGGGGTTACTGTCATGCTTGCATCCAGTCTCGTACCGTCATGCTTACAAGCCTCACAGAAGCCCTGCTTACATCGAGGGTGATAGCAGCGGAGGCGCTCTTGAACCACGACACCCCCTCCCGCCTTTTCTCCAGGAAGTGCAGCACCTCCCGCCCGTGCCGGTCCCACAGACCCCTCGCCGTGCCCATGAACACTCGGCTGCTCAACACTGCATCCGCCTGGTTGGGGGGGGGTGGACGGGAGAGGGAGGGCGAGAGGGAGCAGGAGGGGGAGAGGGAGCAGGAGGGAGAGAGGGAGCAGGAGGGAGAGAGGGAGCAGGAGGGGGAGAGGGAGCATGAGGGGGAGACGGGTGCGTGGGATGACCGTCAAGCTAGCTCACTCGGCGGTCCCACAGGCCCCTCGCCGTGCCCACGAACACACGGCTACTCAACACTGCGTCCGCCTGGTGGGAAGGGGGGGAGAGAGGGGCGGGAGATGGGGAAAGGTGGGGGGCACGGAGAGGGAGGGAGGGGGAGGGTGCATGTGAGTTGGCTCAATAAAATGGTCCCACAGGCCCCTCGTCGTGAACACGGACACACGGCTGCTCAACACTGCGTTTGCCTGGTTGGGAGGGAGAAGGGGGAGGAGGGAATGGGGGAGTGTGAGGGAGGAAAGGGGAGAGGGGGTTGTGTGGGATGAGGACTAAGAGTCGGCTCATTAGACGGCCCCACAGGCCCCTCGCCGCGCCCACGAACACACGGCTGCTCAACACTGCATCGGCCTGGTTGGGAGAGAGAAGGGGAGGCGGGAATGGGGAAGTGTGAGGGATGAAAGGGGGAGTGTGAGTGCGGAATGGGGGAGTGTGAGGGAGGAAAGGGGAGAGGGGGGTGTGTGGGATGAGCACTAAGAGTCGGCTCACTAGACGGCCCCACAGGCCCCTCGCCGCGCCCACGAACACACGGCTGCTCGTGAGGAGGGAAGGGAAAAGGGGGAGGAGATGGGGTAGCAGCAGCACTTGAGTTGGCTTGTCTGTTGGTCCCACAGTCCCCTCGCGTGGAAATTACTCGACTTGGCTCAGTAAGATGCCACAGGCCCCTCGCTAGCAGTGAGGCAGCGAGGGCAGACAGCGGGTGCCCCCGCCAATGCAGCCCTTGCAGGGCCATGCACCTGTTGCAGCAGATGCAGTGCACCCGCTAGAAGCGAGGCAGTGAGGGCAGACAGCTCGTGCATCCGCTCTCCCACAGCCCCTTCCAAGACAGCGGGTACATCTTGGACGCGATGCCATTGCCTGCCTATTGTCATGCCTGGTGGGCATGGTGGCCTGGGAGTTCAACTCCAGTAGGATATGCTTTCCTGAGCAACGACCCAATAAGAGCAGAGAGCGGCTGTAGTTTGGACGTCATGTCGTTGCCTGCCTGCCTGCCGTCACCTGGGCTGGGCAGTCAAGTGTGGAGATTCGACTCACCTGAGCTAACAACGATCCAATAAGAGCAGAGAGCGGCTGCAGCTTAGACGTCATGTCGTCGCCTGCCTGCGGGCGCACCTCCTTCAACACCCGCTTTAACGACGTGGTGCGGCCCAGCTGGGTCTGCGTGGAGGGAGGAGAGGGGGGTGAATGGCGAAGGGCAGGTTAGTCTAAGGAGCCTGTGTGCGGGCGCATCTCCTTCAACACTCGCTTTAACGACGTGGTGCGGCCCAGCTGGGTCTGCTCACACAAGGGAGGGGGGAATATGGGATGGAAGGAAAAGGGTAAGTGCGCTTTTGTAAATGGCCTCAAGGAGGGCGCGCCTCCTTCAGCACTCGCTTTAGCGACGTGGTGCGGCCCAGCTGGGTCTGCTCTCAGAAGGATGGAGGGGAGAAAGTGGAGAGGAGGAGAAAGGGTAAGTGTGCTATCAAGGCGCCTCAGAACACCTCCACAAACAACACCTGCCCAAACAGCACCTCCCCAAACAAAACCTGCCCAAACAGCACCTCCCCAAACAACACCTTCACAAGCAATACCTCCCTTCCCCCCAGCACACTCACGTTTTCATACAGCTTCTCCACCACGCCCTGCAGTGTCGTCCTGTACGTGGTCCTTGGCTCTATTGTCTCACTCAACGTCTCCCCGAATAACACCTTCACAAGCGATACCTTCCCCCTTCCCCCCTCACATACTCACATTCTCATACAGCTTCTCCACCACGCCCTGCAGTATCGCCCTGTAAGTCGTCCTTAGCTCCACACAGTCACCTCGCTCAACATCTCCCCAGGTGATTCCTTCCCTTCCCCCTTAATACTCACATTCTCGTATAGTTTCTCCACCACGCCCTGCAGTGTCGCCCTGTACGTGGTCCTTAGCTCCACAGTCACCTCACTCAACATCTCCCCGAATAACACCTCCCTTCCCCCCGCCACCCCTCCTCCCCCTGTTCCCCCTGCTCCCCCATCCCCCCTGCCTCCTCCATTCCCCCTCCCTGCCCTCTCCCCCTACCCCCTGCTGCCTCCGCCCAGGCATTCCCCCCACCAGCGCCTCCCCCCAGCCCTCCTCCGCCCATCCCCCCCTGTCCTCCTGCGCCTGCTCCTCCCCTCCCCCGCCCCTCCGCCTCCCCCTCCCCCTCCCCCAGCAGCAGCAGCAGCCACCTTCTTAGCCGCAGCGCCTAGCATGGCGGCAGCAGCGGCGGCAGCAGCAGCGGTGCCCCCCCCTGAGGGCCGCTTGGGAGGGGCGGAGTTGCGCTGGGGGGGCGGATGAGGGACGCAGGAGGGGTGTTGGCCACCCACTTGCGCATCCGCAGCTCCACTGTTGGGCGGAGCGTTTCCAGCATTCGCTTGATGGTGTTGAGATACACGCCCAGCTGAGAAAGAAAGGTGGGGGGGAAGGGGCAGGGGACGAAAAGGCACAGGGGCAAGTGGGAAGGGAGGGGGGGATGAGGGAGGGTGAAGGGGTGTTGGCCACCCACTTGTGCATCCGCAGCTGTTGGTCGCAGGGTCTCCAGCATTCGCTTGATGGTGTTGAGATACACGCCCAGCTGAGGGGAGGGGAGAGGGGGGAGACAAGGAAGCGAGGGGGAAATGGAAGAGGAGCGGAGGCAGAGGAGGAGGAAAATGAGGGAACAAAGGAAGGGAGGGGAAGCTGCCACTTGGTAGCCGAAGGGTGGGGCAGCAGCGGGAGAGCATAATCACGAGTTTTATTCCTGGTGGAGAAACAGAAAAAACGTGGGTGGAGGGACAAGGCGTGGGGGGGGGGAGTGGCAGTCTTGGTATGAGCACTTGGTGTTAAAAACTGAGAACTTGATTGATACAATGAGCAAGAGCATGCATCCTTAAGTACCGAGCATCGAAGAGGATGGGAAGGGTTAAGGGAAAATCAGAGGGAATCCCAAGGGCATCCTCCCAAATCATGGGGATTTGGGATGGATTGGGTTGGGATAGGTTGGGGATGAAAACATAGCTACACCCAACCTAACAAATATGCGTATCCCTATAACCAACAAATTGCCAACACACAAAGTTGTGCCAACCGAACTGCAGCCTATCTGTAACACACCCCCTAGGCTGCAACGTCGGAAGCCGTAGGCACGCCAAGTCCCATGGTACGGAGGAGACGATAGTGATCACAGCGTCCAAGAGCCTTCGTAAACAAAGTCGGCGAGGTTGCAGTCAGAGGAAATATGCTTGACGCACAATCGCCCTTGCTGGACGAGCTCGCGCATGAAGAAGTGTCTCAGTTCGATATGCTTGGTTCGTTGGTGGAAGGCAGGATCTTTGGTAAGGTGGATGGTGCTCTCGTTATCACACCACAGAGTCAGGGTCTGCTGAGGATACCCGATCTCAGCCATGGGGTAGGTAAGCCATCGAGCTTCTAGGGCGGCCATGGTGCCTGCGTATAGCTCAGCTTCGCAGAATGACAATGAGACGGATGATGAGCGTGTAGATCGCCAGCTGATGACACCACTACCAAGGGTGAAGCAATAGCCTTGGGAAGAGCGGCGGTGAGCTTGATCATCAGCCCATGAGGATACGTTGTATCCCTCGAGGTGAGGAGGGGTCGTGCCACCGAGAATGAGGACGTAGTCCTTGGTGGCTTGGAGGTAGCAAAGGACGCGCTTAGCAGCCGACCAGTGGCAATTTGTGTATCGACTGGCAGCAACGAAACGCGAGAGCACACTGATGGGGTAGGCGAGGTCGGGCCTTGTGCACATCATCGCATACATGAGTGATCCGACAAGCTCGGGGTATGCCTCATCACAAGGCTCGGGCGATGGAACTGATGGAGCGATCAGATCATGCTGCAAGGGAAGGGGAGTGGCCACTGGCTTGGCGTTGTCCATGGCAAAACGCTTGAGGACGTTGTTCACATAAAACTCTTGAGAGAGAGTGATGGTTCGAGCTTCGTGATCCCGCGAGATTTCCATCCCAAGGTAGTTCTTGACTTCGCCGAGGTCCTTCATGGCGAGAGCGTCCCCAAGAGCTTGCTAAACAACTTCCAGCTAATCGGAGTCCTTGGAGACGAGAATCGTATCGTCAACGTAGACGAGAATGAAGAACTGCTTCAACCAGTAGACTGGTCGATTCAGCTTCCAGACCATGCCGGGTGGAAAGGGCAAGGGAAATCCTTGAGGATGTTCCATGTAGATGTCCTCAAGGAGATCCCCTGGGAGAAATGCGGCAGAGATGTCCATGGAGTGAACGTCAAAGTTGCATCGAGCGGCGATGTCCAGCAGGGTCCGTACGTGGGCAGTTTGGCCGTCGGAGAGAACGTGTCGAAGACGTCCAGGCCTTTCTTCTGCGTGAAACCTTTTGAACAGTATCGTGCCTTGAAGACTAGGAGTTCGCCAGGCAGCTGCTTAAAGCGAAAAACCCATTTGCCACGGACAATGTTAACTCCTCGCGGAGGAGTGACGTCCGTGAAAGAATTGTTATGAATGAATGCTTCACACTCCGTGATCAAGGGTGCGAGCCACTGAGGGGAGTGTGGCCCAGAGATGGCTTCATCATACGACTTCGGGGTCGAAATGGATGGATTTTTCGAGAAGTTGAGAGTTGGAGCGCCGGCAAGATCGGGGAAGAGATAGAAGAGCTGACGGATGGCAGCATTGATCTCAATCAGCTCCTCATGCCTATCCTCCAAGAGGCCAGGCATGGATGCACCCCCGGCAAGAGGAGGCGGATTGAGGGAGATGCGAACAAAGAGGGCGAGAGGCGGAGCGGGACCATGAGAGCAGGTGCGGTGAGCAACAGGGACAGGAGAGGAGGGAGGTGACGGGGGAGGAGGTGGAACGTCGACATAAGAGCGCCCTTGGCGGCGGCGACGATAGGTGACAAGGGATTCAGGAGAAGAGGTGGAGGTGGGAGGCGGAAGCGGAGATGGAGGTGAAGTCGGAGATGGAGGTGCAGGCGCAGGGGGGGGTGCAGAAGGAGAGGGAGGTGGAGGGCAGCGGGAGGAGCGGTGCACGGGGAGGTGCAGCTGCCGACAAAGGTGAAGGGGCAACGGAGCTGGTGGGGGAAGGGGGGTGAGAGAGAGTCGAAGGAGATGGAGGAGGTGAGAGTGAGGGGGCTGCGGGGGCAGCGGCAGAGGGAGGAGGTGGAGAGGGTGAAGTGTCAAATTCAGCCCACAAAAGTAAGGTGAAGCGGTGGCCGGTGGTGAGGAGAGGTAAAACGGGCGACTCTCGTCAAATGCGACGTCGCGGGTGCGAAAGAGCTTATTGGTGGAGGGATTGAGAAAGAGGTAGTCGGAAGAGTCCAAGTTGTGGCCGAGGTAGACACATGGTTGAGTTTTTTGTGCAAATTTGCCACCATGGGTGCGACGCTCTTGAGGGTTGAGGAGGACGTATGCGGTACACCCCCATACGCGGAGAGGACATGCACTTGGCTTGGTAACGGTCCACAGTTCGGCGGGAGTGATGCCAGGCCGAAGAGGGTGAGGATGAAGGTTGTAAAGCAGCGTGGCATGGAGGAGTGCGTAACTCCAAAGAGAAGGTGAAGCACCAGCGTGAGTAAGAAGACAGCGGGCGATTTGCACGAGGGTGCAATTGCGACTCTCGGCAATGCAATTCTGTTGCGGACTATGGGGAAGGGTGAAGGATTGGCAAATGCCTTGGGAAGCGCAGAACGTTTGAAGGGAATGACTTCGAAATTCTCAACCGCCATCGGAATTGAGGCACTTGACTGATGTCCGGAAATGGTTTTGGGCTTGTCGAACCCATGCAATGACGAGATCTGAAACAGCTGCTTTGGAGGAGAGTAGGTGGACGGACGCATAGCGGGAGTGATCGTCAACGAGCACTAGGAAGTAGGAGTGCCCGCCACGAGAGCGTATTGGAGCCGTGCCCCAGACGTCCATGAGGACGAGATCAAGCGGGGCAGCTGCAGCAGAGGGTGAAGAAGGGTGAGGCAGCTGTCGCAGTTTGCTTTGTGCGCATTCCAAGCATGGAGGAGCGGGAGAAAGTGGAGGGTGGAGGAAGTGTCTCGGGCATGTGAAGAAACAACTTCTTGGATGCAAGCTCGGAAAGCATGCGGAAGTTGGGATGCCCCTGACGACGGTGGTAAAGAATGGTTGGGTCGGTGAGCTGACGACAGGAGCACGATGAGGTGGTGGAGGTAGAGTGTGCCTCAGTGGGAGATGGAGATACTTGGAGCGTGTAGAGATTGTTGGCCGTCAGTGTGAAGCGTGCAAGGAGTGCTTTGGTGGTGGGGTCAAGGACATCACAGTGATTCGAGTGAGCTGGGAAGATGGTGGTTACCCCTGCTCGTTGAATCTCATGCTGAGCGAGTAGATTGTGCCGAAGAGTGGGCACGCAGATACCAGTGACTGAGCCTGATGGTAAGGCTTGGCATGGAAGAGTGGATGAACCATGGGCAACAGTGGTGAAGCTGGAGTCAGCGCCTAGGAGAGGAATAGGTGCTTGGTATGGTTTGAAGGACTGTTTGTCCCGGAGGACTGTGTGGGTTGCACCACTGTCTAGGATGAATTCAAGTGGTTTACATGGTGTATGTGCAGGCGCCAAGTACTTGGAACTGGTTCCATTGATCATAGGAAGGTCCGGGAACAACAGGTTCAGACGAACATCAGGACTAGGGGTATCCATGGCTGCGTCCTGAATCTTCCATGCCATGATGCTCCAAGGACCCTTTCACTGCACGTAGCGCAGCTCTTAAGTCGTCGATAGGCACTTCGGATTAAGAAGCAAATCTGATCACCGGAAAATCTACACGAAATGTCAAGATGCGGGGCGACGGGCTGCAGCCCGAAGAGAAGCGCTGCACAGATTTTTAGGCGGCTAGAAAAACTTTTGCGTCGTAAGGCGCAAATGCTAGGCTCCAACAGAGCGAGAGGATCAAGAGCCGCTTAGGCGGAAACGAGCTCTCATACCATATTAGAAACTAAGAACTTGATTGATACAATGAGCAAGAGCATACATCCTTACGTACCGAGCATCGGAGAGGATGGGAAGGGATAAGGGAAAATCGGAGGGAATCCCAAGGGCATCCTCCCAAATCGTGGGGATTTGGGATGGATTGGGTTGGGATAGGTTGGGGATGAAAACATAGCTACACCCAACCTAACAAATATGCGTGTCCTTAAAACCAACAAATTGCCAACACACAAAGTTGTGCCAACCGAATTGGAGCCTATCTGTAACACTTGGGGTGTTGGTATGAGCACTTGGGGTGTTGGTATGAGCTCACCCTAATGGCTAGGCACTCAGCTCACCTCTATAGGCACTTGATATGCGAGGGTGGGGCGGCGGCGCGAAAGCATGCTGAGAATCTTCTTCTTGGTGGAGGTGGAGGAGGCGGAGGAGGAGGGGGTGTTGAGGAGGAGGAGGAAGTTCTGGAAGTGAGACGCGAGGGACGAGATGGCGGCTCGCTCCACATCGCATACGGCCTGCATGGAAAAGTCGAAGAGTAAAAAGAAACATGTGGCAGTCATGTGACTTTTGAGCAGAAGCAGGATGTTCTCAAGTGAGATGCGAGGGATGAGATGGCTGCTCGCTCCACGTCGCATACCGCCTGCATAGGAGGGAAGCACATTGGGGGGACACATATGGAAGGGACACACATGGGGGGGACACACATGGCAACGATGTGACCGATTCATAGCAGGATGCATGACACGCTGAATGGAGCTGGACCACTCGCTGTTAAAGACACATCATGCCATGCCCCTTCCCCACTGCACCGTTGCCTCACCTCCTCCACCAGCAGCGTGCAAGCTCGTGCAGATAGTGTTATTAGTGTTCTAACAACACACGGAAGCTATCGGCCCAGCACTGATTCAAGCTCATGCAGTTAGTGTTGTTAGTGTTCTAACAACACACAGAGGCTATCGGCCCAGCACTGAATCAAGCTCGTGCAGCACACAGTTCACGGTGCCATAAACCTCCTCCTAATGCCATTCCGTACCCCCTGCGCCATGCCTCCCCAATGCGCCATGCCTCCCCAATGCGCCATGCCTCCACCCTATTGCCTCACCTCCTCCACAAGAAGGGTGTACTGGGGCCATCTGCCCAGCACGGAGTCCAGCTCGTCCAGCAGGCTGTTCACGGCGCCATACACCTCCTCCATAAACGGTGACGTGGCATTGCGGTCCGACATGGGGGCTAGCACCGCCCACTGGTGGGGGAAGGCCAGAGGGAGATGTGGTGAGAGGAGGAGAGGGAAGAGAGCAGGCATTTCAATCACCTACTGCTACTGACGCCATACACCTCCTCCATGAACGGTGACGAGGCGTTGCGGTCTGACATGGGTGCCAGCACTGCCCACTGTAAGAGAGGAGAGGGGAGGGGAGGGGGGGGGAAGAGAGAGATGATGCGCGCATTGCCCACTGCAGGCTGTTGGTGAGATAGAGACGTTTGTGCCAATAGGAAGCTCTTGATGACGCCATACACCTCCTCCATAAAAGGTGACGCGGTGTTGCGGTGCGACATGGGTTCCTCACATGAAGGGTGACGTGGAATTGCGGTCTGCCATGGGTGCTCCTCGAGTACCGGGAGGGAGGGAGGAGAGAAAATAAGGGGGATTTTGTGCTTAGTGCGAAAGGGGATTAAGCAGTCAGCAACAGCTTCAAATAGTCCTGGCATGTGACTGCCATGATCAACAGAGCAGTCGAACCACTGCCCGCACCGTTCAAAACAGCTCCTCTCTTGCCGCCTTCTCTCTTGCTTTTTGCCAAACGGGGCGCGCATTCGCACGACTGAAATAGATTGTCACTATGGTGAAAGGGGATATCTGATAGTCACATGGGTGTACCAAAGAGCGTGCAGCAAAGGAGAAGCTGTTTGAAACGGTGCTGACAGTGGTTCGACTGCTGTCGCATTTCAGAAAAGCATGTCAGCACATTCGACAACGTTTGTGCACAATAACCCTAGCGCTAGAACTGATGGTTGCAGGTGATTTTTGAGAGTTCTCAAAAGGCAAGGAGAAAGTTGTGGCTGCAAAGCACACTAAATTGTAGAAATGTGCGTGCAGCTAGACGGGGTTTCCAGGCTGATTCACTAGCTGCCATCTCACTCATGTTTGGTCAGCCAGCAGTGCTAGTCAGGCTAATGGCACATACATGCCATTAGCCACATGCAACATGCCATTAGCCACATGCCACACACCACACGCCCCACGCCACACGCCACACACCACATGCCACGTGCCACATGCCACACACGACACGCCACGCACCACACACCACACGCCACATGCCACACGCCACACATACCTTGGGAGCTCGGCAGACATCCATGAGGGTGTGAGTGCGCTCTCTGATCCACGCCTCCACATACACCCCGAACAGCTCCCGTGCGTCTAAGCCCCCTGGCACCTTGCTGCTTGGGATGAAGACAGGTGGAATGAAAGAGAGGCACAACGGGAAGGAGAGGGGCGAAGCGAATTGAAGGTGATGCTAGAGAAAAGGATGCGGGGATTAAGCAACAACATACATGCATACGTGCACCATGATACCAACATGCATGCATCATGACAGAAAGGCACCATCATCGCAACATGCATGCACAACATAGCTACAAAGCGCAAGCACTACACTCACCCCACGCCCCACAGCAGCAGCCTATCCTCCACGTCAGCAGTGGCGTGCAGCAGATTCTTGACATGTGGCAGCGGGTGCTGAGGCGGCACCGCCAGCAGGAACTGGTTGACCCTCCTCTGCAGCTCCACCATGTACACGCCAGCCGTCAGCTCGGGGAGGTCCACGAAGCTGAAAGGGGAGGAAAGGAATAGAGACGGGTAGGGTACTCTTCCTCTAATTAATACAACGGACCATTTGGGTAGGTAAGGCATGGCCCCTAGATTGGGGTCCCTTTGTCTTCAGCAGCTCGGGCAGATCCACGAAGCTGGGTGGTTGAGAGAACCGGGGGTGTTGAGGGGTAGGGATGTCAGCCGAGGTCCCATTGATCTTCTGCACCTGCACCATGCACACCTGCCAGCTGTCAGCTCGGGGAGGTCCAGAAAGCTGCGAAAGAGAGAGCTGCAAGTTGGGAGGAGATGGAAGGAGTGGGAGTTGGGGGTTGGGCGAGTGTTGGGGGGAGATGGAGGCCTCTGAACAATGAGCGTCCACGAGGTACACGCCAGATGTCAGCTCGGGCAGATGGATTTTTGATGTGCCTCAAGACTAGACTCAGCTTGGGGAAGATCGACAAAGCTGAGAAGGAATGAACAGACGGAAGGAGAACCGGGAGAGGGTGGCACTCAGGACCCTCAATCCGAAAGCTGTTTGACGCATGTAGCCCGCCCCGCCATGATGCACACACCAGCTGACAGATGAGAACGAATTGGGAGAGTATGGGGATGGGCAAGATGTGGATACCAGTGTCTGTGTGGAGGGAGGTGCGCCACACACGCCACAAACACACAGAGCATGACACCCAGCAACCCAACTGGGCAGGATGTGCTGGTTGTGAATGCCGATATCCGCCTGCACCTCGCGCCAGATCGCCACACGCACTTGCACCCACTAGGACCCCTTTAGAGCAACACCCCTTACTCACATACAGCAACCCACCTGGGCAGGATGTGCTGGTTGTGGATCCCGATATCCGCCTGCACCTCGCGCCACATCGCCACACGCACTTGCACCCACTAGGACCCCTTTAGAGCAACACCCCTTACACACATACAGCAACCCACCTGGGCAGGATGTGCTGGTTGTGGATCCCGATATCCGCCTGCACCTCGCGCCACATCGCCACACACGCCAGCCGCATGCTCACATATGCCTCCCTCTGCCCCTCCATGTCCCTCCCATCCACAAACCGTATCCCACCTCCTCCAACCCCCCCCACTCCCCCTCTCCCCCTTCCCCCCCCTGGACTGCAACCCATGCCCGCTTGCCCCTGCCCATGCCCCCCCTGCCCGTGAGTAGTGCTTCCGCCAGCACCCATGAGGGCGGATGTGCCGTTCACGTATTCGTCTGTCTCGGACAGGTGCTGCCTGCAGCGGCGCCGCGCTGCTGTCTGTTTGGAGGGTGATAGGAAAAAAGGGCAAGTGCGGTGGTGGGGATGTGTAAAGGTGGGGGAGGGAGGAGGTGCTGTTGACGTATTCATCTTTTCTGTCTCTGACAGGTGCTGCCTGCACCGACGCCGCGCTGCTGTCTGTAAGAGGGGGAAGAGAGCGACGTCGCAATGGGGATGGAGGTTGAGAGATGGGAGGATGTGCCAGTGACGCATTCGGCCGTCTCTGACAGGTGCTACCTGCACCAGCGACCCGCTGCCACCTGTTAGGGATAAGACAAAGGTTGGGAGTGGGCAGAAAAAGTGGTAGAGGCTTTGAAAGAAGGGGCAGGAAGACCGATCAACCGGACAACAAGCCATGATGATCCCCAACCTCACCATGTTGCAACTCACGCAGCGGTTGCGTTACAACTTTGAGAATTCTCGAAAAACACAGGAGAGGCGAAGAACAGGTGACAGATCATACAGACTGGACTGGACGACAAGCCATGATGACCTCCGACCTCACCATGTTGCAACCCCGGCCGCAGCAGATCATTCAGCAGCCCCAACCTCTGCACCCCGAAAGAATCACTTGCAGATCATTCAGCAGCGAGAGCTGCCGCCTCTGCTGCCACCATTCCTCATCCCCCCTTTCCCAGCCACCTCGTCTTAGACATGCCAGTCTTGCAAGTATCTGCAGAACTGCTACTGCACCTTTGGCAGCAGCGAGTTGCTCAGCAGCAAATCATCCCATATTTTGAGTTGACTCAAAAGCAGAGACGCTCAGCAAATCATCCCGCATTTCCCCCCACCCGTCTCACCTGCCAGTATCTGCACAACTGGTGCTGCACTTCCGGCAGCAGCAAAACATTCAACAGACCCAACAGGTGCTCTGCTGAGGTGAATGCTCGGGCGGGCCACCAGCGCTGCTGCCTCTGCTCCCATAAGAACTGGTTGAGTACGAAGTACGAAACCCCACATCGTACCAATCAGCCCCACCCTTACCTGCAGGTATCCACAGAACTGCTGCTGCACTTCAGGCAGCAAAAGGTCATTCAGCAGCCCAAACAGCTGCACTGCAGGGGGAATGGCAGGAGCCACCAGCGCTGCTGCCTCTGCTCCCACCAGCGACCGCCCGAGCGAAGCACAGAGATGGGCGGCAGAGCGGGAAGAGTCGACGATGCCTGACGGCGCGGACTCGTTGAGGGACTTGTAGCTCTCAAAGGTCAGTTGCAGCAAGTCTCCCACCCGCTCCTCCATATCCGCTAGCATGCGCGCCTGCAGATTTGGGTGGTTGGGGGACTGGCAGTGTGAGTCACAGAGTGAGCTGGCGGCAGAGCGGGACGAGTCTGTGATGCCTGAAGGGGCCGACTCGCTGAGGGACTTGCAGCTCTCCAAGGTCACTTGCACCAAGTCCCCCACCCGCTCCTCCATATCTGCGAGCATGCGCGCCTGCCGTGGGGGGGCCGGGGAGGGGGGGGGGGGGTGGACGGAAGGGGGACGAGAGGGAGTACGGAGCGATGCACGGAGGTGGGTGGCGGAGCGGGAGGAGTCAGCAGTACCCCAAGGGGCCGACTCGCTGAGGGACTTGCAGCTCTCCAAGGTCAGCTGGAGGAGGTCGCCCGCCCTCTCCTCCATGCCTGTTCTGTTGCCGTGCGCGCCTGGGGGGAGGGAGGGGGGTGGGAGGAACAGGGATGGGGAAGATAAGCGACGCCGGAACGGGCAGACAAGCGGAGGGACTTGTAGCTATCGAAGGTCAGTTGCAATAGATCGCCCACTCGTTCCTCCATGTCTGCTGGCATGCGCACCTGGATGGGGCAAAGGGAACGGCGATGAAGGGGAGAACAGAGGGATGCACAAAGGTGGGTGGCTGTGGGAGGAGTGTGTGATGCTGGAAGTATTCGGTTTTGAAAATTGCCAAAAATAAAAACCGAACACGGTTTTTGAAATTTCTCTAAAACCTAACACGGCAAAGGAGGGGAGAAAAGAGGGATGCAAAGAGGTTGGTGGCTGTGGGAGGAGTGTGTGATGCCAGAAGGGCCAGGGAGCCGGTCAGCCGTAGGCTTTTGAGTCGACCCCGGAGTCTCCTAGCATCGCATCACTCACCTCCTGTTTAGTTTCACTGCTCGGATCGCTGTCATGAGCATGCAGCATGGGCGCCAGCAACTGGTGGATGAGAGAGAGAGAGAGGCAGAGAGCCGTTGGCGTTAATAGTAAAAACACTCACCTCCTGTTTGGTCACGCTGCTGCCATCAGTGTCGTGTGCATGCAGCACGGGCGCCAGCAGCTGGTGGATGAGACAGAGACAGTCAGCGGTTGGTGTTGCCACGTCCATCACACGTGTCAGGTACCTGCAGAGGCGGGGGGGGGGGGGGGTGAAGATACCAAGACAAAGGTTGAAAGCAGCAGAGAATCCAGGGTGGAGGGTGAAGGGTGGAGGGTGAAGGGTGGAGGGTGAAGGGTGGAGGGTGAAGGGTGGAGGGTGAAGGGTGGAGGGTGAAGGGTGAAGGGTGAAGGGTGAAGGGTGAAGGGTGAAGGGTGAAGGGCGAAGGGTGAAGGGTGAAGGGTGAAGGGTGAAGGGTGAAGGGTGAAGGGTGAAGGGTGAAGGGTGAAGGGTGAAGGGTGAAGGGTGAAGGGTGAAGGGTGAAGGGTGAAGGGCGAAGGGTGAAGGGTGAAGGGTGAAGGGTGAAGGGTGAAGGGTGAAGGGTGAAGGGTGAAGGGTGAAGGGTGAAGGGCGAAGGGCGAAGGGCGAAGGGCGAAAGAGGGGCAGTCGGCTGTCGGTGTTGCCACGGCCATCACACGCGTCAGGTCCCTGCAGGGAACGGGGTGGGGAGATGCCACGACGAACGATGGAAGCAGCAGACACTCAAGGGTGGAGGGCGAAGGTAGAACGCGAGACACCTGGCCAAAGGGATGCGGATGGGGATGGCAGGAGCAGTAGTGGCAAGGGAAGGTAAAGCGAGGGGAGAAGCCCCCCTTGGGAATTACCCCCAGGCCCCGGCTGTCGGTCGTAACAGCATTGGCAAGGGAATGTGACGGGGGCAAGACGCAGTGAGCTGTTGATGTTGCCACATCCATTACACATGTCAGGCACCTGAGCTGAGGAGGGGATAAGATACAGATTCAGATTTGGAAACCTTAGCTTGGTGAGTTGCGGGGAGACGCCATAGCATGCAGCAATTTGATCACAGAGCGAATTGGTGGCAGAGCCACTCCCAAGGGCCAGAGAGACGGAGGTTGTGAGCAAGTGGCGCCAGCGAGCACACCGCACCTTAGCTTGGTGTAGTGCGGGGAGACGCCATAGCAGACGATAAATTGATCGCAGAGCCACTCTCAGGGGCCAGAGAGACGGAGGTTGTGAAGGTGTGGTATTGGCCAATGAAGAACTAGAGAGAACCGTACCTGAGCTTGGTGTAGTGCTGGGAGACGCCATAGCAGACAGCGAATTGGTCACAGAGCCACTCCCAGGGGCCGGAGAGGCAGAAGTTGCGAGCGTGTGGTATTGGCCAATAAAGAACTAGAGAGCACCGCACCTGAGCTTGGTGTAGTGCGGGGAGACGCCATAGCAGACAGCGAATTGGTCACAGAGCCACTCCCAGGGGCCGGAGAGGCGGAGGTTGCGCGCGTGAAATCCCTGTGCTGCCATGGCTGCTGCGAGCACCCAGTCGTATGCTGCTGACTCCGATATGGGATGGCACTGGATGGTGGGTGGGGTGAATGGTGGAGGGAGGAGGGGAAGAAAGGGCAGTAGGGTTGGTGGATAGAGAGGGGCAGCAAGAGGGATCCCTGTGGTGCATTGGTTTTTGAGCCATGGCGGCACAGGGCTCCACTCTCAAAAAACCAATTCAAAAACCTGGCGCCCAGTCAAAAACCAATGCAGCACAGGGAACCAATTCAAAAACCAATTCAAGAGTGGATCCCTGTGCTGCCATGCCATGGCTGCTGCGAGCGCCCAGTCATATGCTGCTGACTCCGATATGGGATGGCAGTAGATGGTGCGAACGAAGGCATAAGAGGGAAGAGAGGAGGGCGAGGCAATAGAGGGATGGACAAAGAGGGTGCGAGAGAGGACGTCCCTGTGCTGCCATGCCATGGCTGCTGCGAGCACCCAGTCGTATGCTGCTGACTCGGATATTGGATGGCACTGCTAATGGTAGTCTTTGACCGAAGGCACAAGGGAGACAGCTATCGGCATGCGAGCCCCCTCCTGCCGACACACATACAGTTTGTTACGTCCACCCTCCTGTGGGTGCGCTGCAATGCGTCCACCCCACACTCAGAACCCCAGCAATCCACACCCACACCCACACCCACACCCACACCCACACCCACACCCACACCCACACCCACACCCACACCCACACCCTGCCATACCCACACCCACCTGAGTGCCGTAGTCCTTGGCAGAATGCACAAGCGAGACGGCTATCTGCACGCGGGCCACCTCCTGCTGACACGTGTCTCTCACAGCCACCCAATGGCAGCGCTGCGATAACGACACGTGGGTGAAGGGGTGCTGGAGGAGGGGGGGAAAGCGGGGGATAGGAGGGGGAGGCGGGGAGGGTTTCTGGGTTTAGGCTGTACATGCTATACTGACACTGTGTCCCTCACCATTGGCAGCGCTGCGACAGCGATGCGCGGTGAAGGGGTGCTAGAGGAGCAGAGAGTGCCAGGGGGGAGGGACGTTTTAGAATTCTACAAAATCTCTCACAGGGGGAGGGGGGAGGGGGAGGAGGCAGAGGAGGCGGAGGAGGAGGAGGAGGAGGGGCGGAAGCGGTAAAGGAACATTGGCTTCATTGACCAATGGCAGCGGTGCAGCAGCGATGCAAGGATGGATGGAGGGTAGTTGGGATGCAAGGCGGTGCAGCAGCGATGCAAGGATGGATGGAGGGTAGTTGGGCTACTTTTGTACTCGTCACTCACCCCTTCGTCCATAAGCACAGCAGCCGCCACTGTGGCCTGCCCCCTGCACCCACTGCGGTCGTGCACCTCCACCACCACCTCCTGGCGATCACTCTCCACGGGACTGGAGGGGGGAATGAGGGAGGGGGTGAGGGTGAGAGGGATACAGGGCGCGGTGAATGTACCCGCTGCGGTTGTGCATCTCCACCACCACCTCCTGCCAATCGCTGTCCACTGGACTGGTACACGGAAGGGTGGATGGGTGAGGAGTCTATTTTTGAGGCGCCTCAAAAATAGACTCCTTGTCCTGGGGATCGCTCTCCATGGGACTGGTATACAGAAGGGTGGATGGCGGAAGGGTGGGGCAAAAGGGCACAGGTATAGGGCACATGTGTATTGATGGATGGGTTGAGAAAAGCGTGGGAGCTTGAACTGTAGAACAAAATCGAGGTGAACTAGCATGGGGAAAACACGGCTTGACAATGGATCTCACAGGTTGATGCAGTGGTGCGTGTTGGGGTTGACCCTCTGTGCCTCACTCGCCTCCTCTGACCTGCAGCGCACTGTTACTAGCACGCCCTCTGGTGGTAACACCAGGACAAACACACAGGGGGAAAGAGAGAGGAGAGCATGCAGGGGAGGAAGGAGAGACAACAAGCAAAGCGGGATGGAAGGGAGGCAGTGGTGTGTTTTGGGGTTGATCCTCCCATATCCCCAGAGTATTGGGGTTGATCCTCCAGGCCTCACTCGCCTCCTCTGACTTGCACTGCATTGCCACTAGCACTCCCTCTGGTAGCAACACCAGGAGAAACACAGGCAAGAATTGAGAGAGGAAAGCAAGCAGGGGAGGAGGGACGAGATGCGGCGGTGCGTGTAGGTGTGGGTGCTTCAATCGCCTCCTCTGACTTGCCGCGGACTGCCACTAGCACGCCCACTTTTAGCATCACCGGGACACGCAGTGGTAAGGGAAAACAGACGCAGGGAGGGCGTGTGTTGGAGTTAACCCTCTGTGCCTCACCGGACTCCTCAGGCTTGCAATGCAATGTCACTAGCACTCCCTTTAGTGGCACTAAGGGGACAAACACACGGGGGGGAAGAGAGAGGCAGGCGAGTGAAGGAGGAAGGAAGGGAGGCAGTGCTGTGTGCTGGAGTTGAACCAATAAGAAGACACGATGTCCGCCACAGAAAGCAACAGAGAAATCACCTGACGCAACAGAAAAGTCACCTGAAACAACAGAAGCACTTGCCTGGCGCAGCAGAAGTAGCTTCAGCAGCCAGCCCTCTAAGCAGCCAGTCCCCTCAAACTCGCCATGCCCCCCTTTACCTGCCACGTCATGCTGCTCATCTCATCATTAACACGCCCGCTGTTGTTTCCTTGGAGCAAGAGCGGAGATACTTAACGCAACAAAGGAGTTACCTGGAGCAGCTGTGGTGGCTTCAGCCGCCAGGCCCCTTAGATTCGCCATGCCGCCCTTGATCTGCCGCATCATGCTGCTCACCGCCCCCCCCGCTGATGCTGACACTGACCCCCCCGCGCCCCCCTGGAAATCTGCTTCCCTCTGTCCGGCAGCCGCCCTCCCCTCCTCCCCCTTGCCTGCCATGCGCACCTTGCGCACTGGGGGGGGATTCCGGAGGGGGGGGGGAAGGGAGCGTGGAGGGGAGGGAGGTTTGGGGGAGTGGAGAGGGGGAGAGGGGAAAGGGGAAGTGGGTGGGGGCGGGGGTGGAAAGGGAAAGGGGAGGGGGGAAGTGGGGGAGGGGGGGAGAGGTATACAGTTGGGTGGGAGATGTGGGCCATGTGATACAGATATGGGAGAAATGATATGGGAGAAATGATATGGGAGAAATGAGATGGGAGAAATGAGACGGGAGAAATGATATGGGAGGAATGAGATGGGATAAATGAGATGGGAGAAATGAGATGGGAGAAATGATATGGGAGAAATGATATGGGAGAAATGATATGGGAGAAATGATATGGGAGAAATGATATCGGAGAAATGATAGGGGAGAAATGATATGGGAGAAATGGTATGGGAGAAATGATATGGGAGAAATGATACGGGAGAAATGATATGGGAGAAATGAGATGGGAGAAATGATATGGGAGAAGTGATATGCGAGAAATGATATGGGAGAAGTGATATGGGAGAAATGAGATGGGAGAAATGGTATGGGAGAAGTGATATGTGAGAAATTATATGGGAGAAATGATATGGGAGAAATGATATGGGAGAAATGATATGGGAGAAATGAGATGGGAGAAATGAGATGGGAGAAATTATATGGGAGAAGTGATATGCGAGAAATGATATGGGAGAAATGACATGCGAGAAATTATGTGGGAGAAATGATTTGGGAGAAATGATATGGGAGAAATGATATGGGAGAAATGATATGGGAGAAATGGTATGGGAGAAATGATATGGGAGAAATGATATGGGAGAAATGATATGGGAGAAATGAGATGGGAGAAATGATATGGGAGAAGTGATATGCGAGAAATGATATGGGAGAAATGATTTGGGAGAAATGATATGGGAGAAGTGATATGGGAGAAATGAGATGGGAGAAATGATATGGGAGAAGTGATATGCGAGAAATTATATGGGAGAAATTATATGGGAGAAATGAGATGGGAGAAATGAGATGGGAGAAATGATATGGGAGAAGTGATATGGGAGAAATGATATGGGAGAAATGATATGGGAGAAATGATATGCGAGAAATGATGTGGGAGAAATGATATGGGAGAAATGATATGGGAGAAATGATATGGGAGAAATGGTATGGGAGAAATGATATGGGAGAAATTATATGGGAGAAATGATATGGGAGAAATGATATGGGAGAAATTATATGGGAGAAATGATATGGGAGAAATGAGATGGGAGAAATGATATGGGAGAAGTGATATGCGAGAAATGATATGGGAGACTACTAAGAGGGATGCAATGCGGAGAGGGTAGAGGGTGTGTGGGTGGGGAAGAGAGGAGAAGGTGCGGCCAAGAATGAACGCATGAGACGCAATTAGTGTAACAGGCGTGACTATGGTAACAGGGTTACCAGAGGACGATGGTTGCTATGCCGATGAGGCAGACAAGCAGCGCTAGCAGGTACCGGATAGTCAAGAAGCGCTTGCAATATACGCGTTGATCGTTTTGTGCACTTCACTCGCGTCTTAAATCTGACTGAGAGTGGGAAATGCGTGAGTCATCAGCATCGGGATTCACCCGTGTTTCGGGACAACTCACGCATCACCTAGAGGCAACGACAGTACACTCAGAGCCAAATCACCTCGCAGCTTGAGATGCCAATGCCTCTGGCCTTCCTTGCTGACGAGATGCTTCGACACAGTGACCGCAAGAAGCTCTTGAGCCCTTGCAGTGGGGAAGAGGAGCAAAAAAAGGAAGAGGCAGCCCCGATGTACCCACCTTGCAGCTTGAGCGTCCCAATGCCTCCCTTCTTCTTGCGGGCCGACGAGTTGCCATACGGTGACAGAGGGGAGCTCTTAAAGCCCTCCAGTGGGGACGCGCACACGCCGCCCTGCTCCCTCTCATCCCCATCCCTCGCACCCCCTCCTCCCCCTCCTCCTGCCGCCGGCCTGTTGCTGCCTTCGTCTGCTGCCGCGCGCACACTCACAGGCACCAGCATCAGCGGCTGCAGGCTGAGTGGGGGAGGGGGGTACAGCGGGAAGGAGATGCGGCTGAGAGGAGGAGCCATGCTGGAGTGCACGCACTCACAGGGACTTGCGTTAGCGGTTGGATTTTGAGGGGGGGAAGGGAGGATAGGGGGGGGAAAGGGTGGGCTTGAGATGGCTCAAGGAGTGTCAGCACCTCGGATTGACCGGCACCCGACACGCACTGGCACCAGTGGCTCAAGTGACTTTTGAGTCGACTCAAAAGGCACCGACACGCACTGGCACCAGTGGCTTAAGTGACTTTTGAGTCGACTCAAAAGGCACCGACACGCACTGGCACCAGTGGCTCAAGTGACTTGAGAGTCGACTCAAAAGGCACCGACACGCACTGGCACCAGTGGCTCAAGTGACTTTTGAGTCGACTCAAAAGGCACCGACACGCACTGGCACCAGTGGCTCAAGTGACTTTTGAGTCAACTCAAAAGGCACCGACATGCACCAGCATCAGTGGCTCAAGGCTGAGGGCGAGAGGGAGAAGGAAAGGGGAGGGAGGAGATGGCAGAGGGGAGCAGTGGAGAGCAAAATTGCTCACAGGTAACACCATCAGTGGCCGGAGCCTGACCCAAGATCATGATATCAGTAATGTGTTATTACAACAATAGAAGAAAAAACCAGAATGTTACTTTAAAACCCGCGGCCCAAATTGCGAGGCACGGCCTTCAAACGCCGTGCGTTTGTATTGCGTTTTCGTGGGTGTATCGGGGGTAACGAGACTCTCGTCACTCAGGGGTGCCTTTCAAGTTCAGTGTGGAAGGTAATTTGGAACACCAGGTGCTCAGCGTTTTTCAACCGTCCAGTTTTTCCAGATTTTCATCTGACCGCGCGTAAGCCAAGCACTTCCCCCAGTCAGTCGAAAGGCAATCTCATCCGTCCAACTGTGTGTTTGTAAATCTGACGGTTCACGACAAGCGTTGAATTTGCGAGAGTAAACGCCCTCGCGATTTTCCAGCGTATTTCGTACAGCCTGAGGGTCAAAGTTCATACGCAATGCGTTTGAACAATTTGGGCCGCGGGTTTTAACAATATGTTGTAACAAGAATCACAGACTGACCCAAAGAAGGTGCGCAGTGAGCCACAGGCAGACTCGCTGAGAAAGAAGTGCGCGTGGGGCGAACCCTTGGGTGCTTCCTCCATGCACATGCGCACACACGCGTCATACGCCACCGTTGCACTCCACCGCTCATCCGCGCTGCATCAAAAGAGCATGGGGCACGCATGAGGCATGCATGGGGCATCCATGGGACATGAATGGGGCACGCATGAGGCATGCATGGGGCAAAGAGAAACAAGCCCTTTGGATGCCTTATCCAGTCCATGCCCATGCGCACGCACGCTTCATACGCCACCACCACACTGCACTGCTCCGCCATGCTGCATGCAGTGGGGATGGGGCATGCATGCGGCAAAGAGGACAGAGTGGGATGCCCACTTGGTTTATTCCTGTTGCGCTCCACCGCACCTCAGCACTGCATGCAGTGGGGATGGGGCATGCATGACGCAGAGAGGACGGGGCGGGATACCCCCTTGGTTTATTCCCGAGGCATTCAACCGCCCCTCAGCGCTGCATGCAGCGGGGATTGGGAATGGGGCATGCATAGGATGGTTACCTGATTCCCATACATGACCAAACCGCATGCATTGCTTACGAGAACCATACCTTGCGAGTTGGATGGGTTCGACAGGTGGAGCAGGTACCGTGAATAAATGGGGCGTGAGGGCCGTGTGGGAAGGGAGGTGTGTTACCATAGACAGTGTGGTTACCATAGGCAGTGTGGTTACCATAGGCAGTGTGGTTGCCGGAACCATACTTAGAGAGTTGGATGGGCTCATTTTGAGGCGCCTCAAAAACAGAGTTGGATGGGCTCAGGAGCAGGCAGCTGCAATGCACGGTGAGCCGACGCGCTTTGGAGGGGGTGTGGGAGAGAGAGGAGTGTCGCCACCGGCAGTGTGGTTACACGCCAGCCAGTGTGGTTACCAGCGCCATACCTTGCGAGTAGAATGGGCTCAGGAGCAGGCGGTTGCGAATGCGCAGTGAACCGGTGGGGCGTGGCGGGGGTGTGGGGGGACAGAGGCGTGTCGCCACCACCACGCTCCGTCCTGTTGGGAGGGCGTGGGAGGGTGGGCATGGGAGGGTGGGCATGGGAGGGTGGGCATGGGAGGGTGGGCATGGGACGGTGGGCATGGGAGGGTGGGCATGGGAGGGTGGGCATGGGAGGGTGGGCGTGGGAGGGTGGGCATGGGAGGGTGGGCATGGGAGGGTGGGCATGGGAGGGTGGGCATGGGAGGGTGGGCATGGGAGGGTGGGCATGGGAGGGGATGGCTAGTGGTTGCATGTCACACGAACGTGCAATTGCATCTGCGCGCCGATGAATCCATGGGGCGTGACGGGGAATCCATGGGGCGTGACGGGGGTGTGGAGAGAGCGAGGCGTGTCGCCACCAGCACGCTCCGTCCTGTTGGTCGTGGGGAGTACGTGGACACACACGAGTGGGCATGTGAGGGGGTACGTGGACACACACGAGTGGGCATGTGAGGGGGTACGTGGACACACACGAGTGGGCATGTGAGGGAGTATGGCATCGGCTGTATGTCACACACATGGGCGATCGCCCATTGGCGATTACACAAGGGCGACTGCACATGGGCAGGGGGAGTTGATTTGACAACAGGGGGAGAAGCGGGGCGTGTCACCATCTGCACGCTCCGCCCTCTTGGGAGGGCGTCCGAGGGAGGGAGTATACCGTGCCTATGTACGCGTTATACCGCATGCCTATGTACGCGTTATACCGCATGCCTATGTACGCGTTATACCGCATGCCTATGTACGCGTCATACCGTATGCCTATGCTCCTCTATGATATTCCGATCGCAACTGCCACCTGTCTCACAACCACCTACACTCTCCCCCCAATTCTGCACCAATCTCCGCGATCAATTCGTGAACATGCGACCTGTGCGATTCACCTCTGCGACGCCTGCGACGGTGACTCCATCGTCGCGCCCGACTCCTCCCTCACTGTGCTCAGTCGCAGCGCGCTCTCCCGCCCCAGCCCCACCGCCGACCGCCCTCCGCTCCAACCCGCGCTGCTACCGCCCAGCGACTCCGCGCCCTCCCGTTCCCCCCTTGCGCTTGCGCTTCCGCTTCCGCCCGCCTCTGGCCGCTGCGGCTGCGGCGCCGCGCGGGTGGGCGCGCCGGGAGCCGCGCGCGCGGGCGGGCCGCTGCTCATGGCGGAAACGGGCGGCGCGCTGGGGGTCGTGCCGGCGCAGCCGCGACCCGAATTGTCGCCGCCCTGACTCTGACTGTTGCTGTAGCTTTGGCTGTAGCTCCGACTATCCCTTTGACTGTAGCGTTGACTGTAGCGCTGACTGTCTCTCGGGCTGTAGCTGTCGCGATTCGGTCCGCGATGCGGCGGTCCAGGTCCCCCTACCGCCCTCAGTACCGCCTCTTCCTCCTCCTCTTCCTCCTCCTTCCCCCCCCGTCCCCACGCCCTCTCCTTTTCCCACTCCCTCGCCTTTTCCCTCTCCTCCTGCTCCCAGTCGTCGATTCCGCCGAGATTCGCGCGATCGCCGTCAGCGTCGCCGGCGTCGCCTTTGACCATAGACGACAGCACGTTCGGCGCGAACTCTAACGAGTGGTCCAGGAACGGCTCGGCTGCCAGGTCATCCTCTTCCTCCGCCTCCTCCTCTTCCTCCCCCTCCTCTACGTCGTTAACCTCCACGTCGCGACCGTTACCGACGTTTGCAACGTTCGCACCGTTCGCGAAGTTAGGGTTCCTGTCGCTCAGCACGCCGTTGCTCCATGCGCCGCTGTCGTAAAACCCGCTCTCCCGCTTCACTTCCGGCTTCGACCGGCTCTGCAGATCGGGAATTGCGGAGCGCCCTTGCCCGTCGTACAGAGTCTCCTCGCCCGTACGGCTGCGTTTTATCTCCTGCCGGTTCATCTCCCACGTGGAGCTCCCCATGTTGGATGAAACGCGGCTCTTCTTCACCGCGACCGGACCGCACTCCTCGTTACCGTTCTCATCCACCCATGCCGCTGCCTCCTGCCCGTAATCGCGACTCTCCATTCCCATGTTAGGCATGTCCATCGATTCATACGGCGCTCGTCCGGTTGGCATATTAGCCACGTGCTGCTGGTACTGGTGCTGCTGATCCATCCCTCGCATTCCGCGCGTCCCTTTGCTCCAGCCGCCTCCTTTCATGGCGTCCCGGCTAATCACACGTGGCCTAACTAGGAATTCCCTGACCACCTATCAAGCTAAGTTAGTCGTCATCAACAGCTGGACTGGAGAGACGTTTTTCACGAATTGCGAGCTGCTGAGACATTTGGGGTTCGAAGCCATGCACAGCGCGGCGTGATTTGGGCGGGAGAGGGGATTTGAATCTGCAGAGAGAGGTGGGCTGTAGCTGAGAGAGCAGACTCACTTGGCAGTTGCTGAGGTTCAGCTATCCCGATGACAGGTTCACTACGACCCTTTCAGTGACAGCATGGCAGTTGCTGAAGCTCAGCTCCACCAGCACTTACAAACGGAACAGATACTTGGAAAACGCAGCCTAAATGTTCTCTGACACAGCGCACCGAATCGCCGCTGCAATCGTTATAAATTGAGGGCGTGTCCAGCGCGTTTTCAGTTTGCCCCAACACGAATTTTTGACGTTTTCTTAACACGCCGAAATATTGAAACGCCACCTACAGTATCTACAGCAAAACGCGCGGACACATGTCCCGCCCGTGTCTTGAGAAATGAGCGGGTGCGCAGCGCGCACATAACAGACTGACACGTGAAAACAGCAGGGTAACCGAATTTCGCCCCAGAAAGAGGCCTCGCCCGGTGCTTCGCATGCATCACGAAAGCCTTGCGAATGTAAGCGTTCTATTTTTCGCCAGCCAGGATCTGGACGTTTCTGCCGTGTGTATAATTTGGGCACGATCTCCATTCGGTTCGGAAACGCGCGGCCCACGCCTGTGCGTGCCCAACCGCGCGGCGCCAAAACCGTCAATTTCTCGTGCGTGTCCGAATGGACACGGAATTTCGAGTTACCAGGTCAAACTTTCGTACCTGATATGCAAAGAGAATAGTGTCAGAACGCGCTGGACATGCCCTAAGAGACATCTAGACAAAACTCGATTGTACGTGATCGTGAGCTACTCATTGAACTTGTGAGACATCATTAGAAAATGACATAACAAAGACGTTACCAATACAGGTGTAAAAAATATTAAAAGAATTCAAATAAAATAGCGAAATTAGCTGTAAAAAAGAGTAGGGGGGTAAGATTAATATTTTGCATAAATATACTTCAGAGCTAAATGATGCGTGCATACACTATTATAGTATTGTTTTTGATATACACTACAGGTGTTATGAATGGGACTGCGGAGTACCGCGGAGGGCAATGGCGAAACTGTGAACGAGTGAATGACAATAAAATGAAAGAACACACAATATATAGAAAGCCTAGGGTGATCCTGGACGTAGGATCAGAAGGTTCGGAAAAAGTATCGAAGGGCCTCGATGTGTCGTAGCGAGGACCAGAAAGGCCCAGGAGGCTCGAATTGAAAGGTCTGGAACCTTATCGCTGGTTCGGGACTGTTCGAGTCGTACGCCCTGTAGCAAGCCTCATTAAGGAATTACGCATTCCTTACACTCTCCCCCCTTCTAGATAAAACTACACACACTCTAATTGAATCTCGTAGTAGTAGCACACAAATAAATAAAACTACACACACTCTAATTGAATTTCGTAGTAGTGAAGCCACCACTGTTGAGAATCTCGAGCTTCTTCAAGGAAACTCCATCCAACCGTCGAAACACGTCGAAACGATCGCGGTCGATCATAGCCGTCGAATCTTGGTCGAATTACCCAGTTAACCAAACGGGCCCTAGGGAAACTACCGCACCACAGCTTCCTTGTCTCCAGCGAATCCTTCGCCGATGTTGGGCTGAGAAAAGCCCTTAGGATCTTTCCAGAAACTAAGTCCCAGTTGTAAAAGACTTGAGTAGTGCAGCGGAAGTTGAGGCAGTTGAACCCTTGTACTAGTATATGAGAACAAGTGATTGATTAAAGAAACAAGCATACAGCAATATATAGAAATAGGAAAGTAAAGCAGTTGTAGAATACAGTTGCAGGAGCGGTTATCGAGTCGCACAGCGACTCGATTGTCGCTTCGGTTACCATCCGCGCTGTTGTAACGGTCAGTCGCAACCTCCAGTTGCGACCCTTCGAGTTCCTTCGCGTTCTTTGTCCATCCCCTCGTGTAACTTCCGTTGACTCGCGTACCCGTTGCGATCTTCCTCGAGTGTAGTGTTACACTTCAGAAACGCTTAAGTCCTTTGAGATATTTCCAACACTCCCCTTCGTTTCTGGAATGCTGACGTGTTCGGATCCGGTGACGTTTGTCTGTCCGGTCAGCAGCATGCAGTAATCGAACTTCGCCTTCGCCGATTTCTTCGTCACATAGTCTGCGGCCATTTCTGTCGTAGGGCAGTAACTGAGTTGAAGTCTCCCCTTCGCGATTTCATCATTGACGAAGAAGTATCGCAGGGCGATGTGTTTGGTTCGGTTGGCGAAGCCGTCCTTGTCTGCGATTTTGATCGCAGATTGGTTGTCGCAGAGGAGTGAGAAGGCGGGCAGTGTCGCAATTTTCGCTATCTCTAGCAATTCTCGTAGGTAGAGTCCTTCCTTGGTCGCAGTACAGAGGGCGATATATTCTGCTTCAGCCGAAGATAGTGCGATTAGTTCCTGCTTGCTTGACTGCCAGGAGATAGTCCCGATAGGTTCTAGTCGGTAGATGTAGCCCGTTCTCGATCGTCGATTTTCCTTGTCTCCCGCGTGGTCGGCGTCGACGTATCCGAGTAGTCGTACGGACGGTGTGGTTACCTTGCTGTAGGTAAGTCCGGTCGTTGGCGTGGAGACGAAGTAGAGTAGTGCCCGGTTGAGCTCCTCGAGATCTTCTTGTTCCGGCTGCTTCAGATGCGTCGCCAGTTGGCTCGCGCTGTAGGAGAGATCGGGTCGGCAGGTTACTGCTGCGAATAGTAGGCAGCCGAGTTTCTGTTGATACTCCTGGATTTGCTTCGCGGGGAGTTTTGCGGAGGTGCTGTTGTTGTTCCCGTAGCGGTAGGGAGTTGGGATCGTAGTCGGTGTTAGACCGAATTTCTTCGCGACGGTGCCTGCGTACTTTCCAGCGTGTAGGTAGAACGCCGAGTTGTCTTCGACGACATTCAGTCCCAGGTACTGGGTCACTGCGTCGGATACCGTGATCGTCAGGTCTTCTTTCAGCTCCCCTTCGAACCAGGTGGCGATGTTGGTAGTGGAGCCGATGTAGAGCAGGTCGTCGACGTAAACGATGAGTAGGATATACTCTTTTCCCTTTTGCAGTCGGTACATGCCTTGGTCATGCGGCAGCTGTAGGAATCCGATTTTTGCGAGGTGACCGTGAAGATGCTGCTGCCAGAGCCGCGGAGCTTGCTTGATCCCGTATAGGGATTTTATCAGCTGGCATACTTTCGTGGGGTTGTTCGACGAAGATCTCAGCGTCCACAGGTGCGTACAGGAAAGCATTTGCGACGTCGATTTGGCGCAGTGGTAGTTTCTTCGTGGCCGCGACGGCGAGTAGGATGCGCAATGAGGTGTGACGAGAGACTGGGGCGAATGTTTCTGTGTAGTCGGTTCCGTATCGTTGATCGAACCCTCGTACGACCCATCGAGCTTTGAATCGTTCGGTGGAACCGTCGGCATTGGTCTTGATGCGGTACACCCATTTTCCCGAGAGGACATTCTTCCCGTTGATGCTTGTTGCAGGTACCAGCTTCCATGTATTTCGGTCTTGCAGAGCCTTTAACTCCTTTTCCATCGCCTCCTTCCATTTCGCCTTATGTTCCCCCCCCAGAGCCTGCGACAGAGTCGGGGGCTCGCGCGGAGATGGCGGCGGCGGATGCTGGACGGAGACCCAGAGGCCGAGTATCTGCAATCCCGTGGGTGTGTGTCGAGGGGAATTTTCATTCCCGGAATAGGCTGCTTCGTCACCGTCTTCTAGATCAGGTAAGAAGTTGGGGCCGATGCGTTCTGAAACATTTGTGTCGACCGGGTGGGGTGTAATGTAACCTTAGTCAGCGAAGTGGTAAAAGGTGTCGAGGTTGTTACTATCGAGGGGATTGTCTTCGTCGAGTGGAACAGGTACGGAACAGAAAGGGAGTGGTCCGGCAGCTTCCGAGGCTCCAGGTACATCTTCTTCTGCTGCGTCAGCTTCGGCAGCACGGTCGGCGAAGGAACGAAGACCCGCGAAGCCGTCGGTGGGGTCTTGTGTGTTGGCAATGTTGTCCAGGTAATGCTGCAGCGTCAGTCGCTCGTAGAAGATAACGTCACGTGATGCCGCTGTATTTTTGTCTTGTATGTCGAGGATTTTCCATGCGTGAAAATGTTTTGCGATGCCGAGGTGTAGTCCCCACCGAGCTCGTTGAGTGAAGCGTCCTGCTCGGGCTGTGTGAGGTCTGTACTGTACCATGCAACCGAAAACTCGAAGTAATTTTGTGCTGCCCCTTTTTCGTGTCCACAGCAGGTGCGGCGATGCATTGTTGGGAAGTGATGACGAGGACAACAGGTTGTGCAGGTGGACTGCATGTGTTATCGCGTCTGGCCACAGTGTGGTGGGCAGTCTCATCCCCAGGAGCAGCTTCCGCATCGTCGTCTGCAAGGTCCGGTTCATGCGTTCTGCGACCCCTTGTTGTTGGTGAGCGTAGAGCAGGGACACCAGGCGTCTGATTCCTCTTTCCGCCAGATAGGTCCTGAAGCGTTGTGACTGGTATTCCAATGCACCGTCTGACGGGAAGCTCTTGAGCTTGATTCCTGATTCCCGTTCGGCGATGGGTAGCCATGTCGTGAAGGCGTCGAAGGCTTGATCGCGCGTCTTAAGGTTGTAGTGCCAGACGTATCTTGTTGCTGCGTGATGAACGTGATGACATAGTTGAAGTCTGCTTCAGCGTTTTTCCGAGGCATGTTTAAAATGTCGCTGTAGACTTTTTCCATCGGTGCGTATGCAGGTGCGCTTGGGTTGTGATGAGATGCGAAAGGCTGGTGGGGAAGATCGGCTTCGGGGCACGTAAAGCATCGTGCGCATGGTCGTCGAAGTTCTTGACCGCTCGTTGTTAGGAGAGCGTTGCGTTCTAACACTTCGGCTTGGATGGTTTGTAGTATTGTGCTATTTGCAGGGTGCCCGAGTCGTTGGTGCCAGATGTCGTCGGGAGCGCGATGGCCGGGCGAGCGGTGGTATATGTCGGTGTTGGAGAAGAACGCGGCGACTATGGCGGGACTTCGACAGACTTCTCGTGTGATGGGCATAAGTTGATCTGCTTCGGTTGGCGGTCCTCGGATCGCTGGTGGTGGTACTCGGCTTGGTCCTGCT